AATGTATAACTTAGCAGTTATTGTGAAACTGAATACATTACTAGCTCATTCAAATTAAGTAAGAACAAGAATATAATTATTAGAACAACATCAGGAGTTAAGTAAATTGAGCTTTATGGATCAATTTACTTTAGTTCATGGACTTCCAGTGTGGATCAATTTGGAAAAGCTAGCTGCGCTTAGTGTGGATGGAGAAAACAAACATTTTGGAAAATGATCACATAAGCTTGCCCAAACACAATCGGGGCAATAAAGAACTGAACAGAGTAGCCAGACTGTGTCTGTCCCACTTCTTGGAGTTTTGTTTGCCGAGTAAAATATAAGAAATGCAACTTGTTGTTTAGCTGTTTCAGTGTGGATTTAACTTGGTGTTAGTATGTTTAGCCAAAGTAATTGTCAGATGATTGATCATTGTCAGATGATTGATCTTTGTCTAATCCCTCCATTATTGGGGTGGCGGGTTTACGTCCAACAATTTCTGTAACTTTCCGAATCTGACAGGCATGTCCACTTGTCACTTCCCATGTGTACAAACGAGAGAAGCACCAGAGAGACTGTCTAAAATATGTACACTACACGATTATTGTGTCTTGTTCTGTCTATGAAGGCAAGATTTTGACTTGAGTTGTGGCAATTGTACTGCAACGACACTTGCCTTCAGTTGTGGTCAGAACAACTCGATGTACAAGTTAGTTTGTTTTAAGCAGTTGTACTTGGATCCAGTCCAGTTTCTTTTAGCAACTTTAAAAAGCAAGACCACAATGCAGGGGAAATGAGTCCGTGGGAGATGAAGTTTCACAACCTCTTGACTGTTCTTGTCTCAAAGTTTGGCATCTCCTTTCTACTATTCAGGCTTGTTGTTTATCTTTGTGGTTTTGTTAATGATCAAATGAGAGTTGCGTGAGACGGGCCTCTTCTGCATATTTATACAGTGAGGAGTTGGCATGAAATAAAGTTAAAAATTTTGCCAGAGACTAATGATTATTATGGATTTCTGAGTTCTTTTTTCTTTCACCATCCACCTCTTCAGACCCTTTGCTGTGCACATTGATCCGACATGATTATCACCACTTATTTTTGCTGAATGTCAATGAATGTTACTTCTACTAAGTGTAATAAATATTGTTTCCATCTCCCATTTAGTGAATTAACAGTTTTTCAACAAATGCAAAAACCACCTCAAGAGAGTGTAAAAACTTTTTTGCGAAATTAAGGATTGAATTTTCTAATTTTGCGTTTCCATAAAAATGCGCATAAAAAACATTGATGTAAACAGAGTTATTGTCACTGTTTCTGCACCACAGTCCATTATAATTCACATAATAGATAAAGTTTATACAAACATTGACAAGGGAAACATGTTAATTCTCTCTGTGATTATCAAAATCAGAAATACTTTAGTAATATTTTAATACTTTTATGGATCCTATTCTGAGGCCAGATTATGGTGCTTTGATAGCAGCAAAAATATAAATAAAAAAATAAATACTTTGATAGCTGTGCTGAAATAGATCTCAGTCATCACAGCAACAGTTACTCACATAATCACTTCCTCTTATAAAAGCGTGACAACTTTTGCAGCAATCATTTATTTTGAGTTGAACTGAGCTTTTACTTTGGAATGACATTAAAAAGAGAGCTTGCTTGCAGCCTGCTTGACACACGTCTGAAAGGGCCGTCAGAAAACGTGATTCCTCTAAATGTCCTCTGCCTGGAGATAGCAGCACATGCTTTATTATGAGCATGTGAAACAATCGCTGAGGAATCAATATGTTGAAGAGGGAAAAAAAAATTTCACCCGATGTGGGATCATAGTGATGATCGTCTACACTGCCAGAAGAAGAATGTAGTGATAAAACGTGCTCTAAAGCACTGTTGTCCTGTTTTGGGCTACTGTAGAAACATGGTGGTGCAACATGGCGACGTCCATGGAAGGGGGACCCGAGGTTATGATAGATATTAAATGACTCATTCTAAGGTATTAAAAACATAAAGGTTCATTATGTAAGATCTTTATGCACCACTGAAAACATTTCTGTCAACAAATCCTCAGAAATATTACACACTGAACTTTTCTGCAATAACTGTTTGCTTTGGCCACTTGGCAGCAACACAAACAGGTTGTGAACACAACATTGACATATCACCACCTTTCAAGCTGATACAGCGAGCTTGTTAGCAAGCAGTTGCTTATGGCAATTACAGAGCAAATTTAGCACTCATTTGTAGCCATGTTTCACTATTCCAATATCCATAGTCCAATATTCACTCTCATAGCTCTGATTGTGGTCTTTACCAACTCCTGAGGAAAACATCTGGCTCAGGTGCTGAGCAAGTAGTGTACAGTGGGTCGTTAGAGGGTTTTTTTGCTGAAAACTGCTGCCTGCTGCTGAAAAATACACTATGAGAGTGATGACAGTGAACCAAAACAGCTAGTGAACCAAAGTTGTGGGCCAGACAAATAAACAATACAGCTCTGTAAGTCGAGGTGAGATGCAGGGTCAGGTGATAATTATCTGTAAGTTCATACTTTAGCCAAAGTGTTGGGGAAACCTTTCTAGGTGCTACCTCGTCAGACTGCCTTTGTGGCTGTTCTGGTAAGGTGACGCCTGGGCATATTCAAATAATCCAACTTGTTTAATTGCCAGAACATTAACAAAGCAAGGTGCATGTCAGTCTGTCCACCTCTTGGTCTAGACTGACCAAGGATTGGATGGACTGGCGTTACATTTTATTGACATTTTCCCCAGACATGAATCCTAATGGCTTTGGTGACCCCTGACTTTCCTTCTAGCGCCTCCATGAGATTCACATTGATGGTTTTGAGTGAAATTAAAGTTGAGTGAAACTATTGGACGGATCTGCCACAAAATTTGGCCATTACACGGTCCTTTCACCCAGGGTGTTGAAATGGGCAATGTTGGACTGAGGGATACTTTCCTAAGAACCAGGATGGGCAGCTTTCATGCCATCACTACAAGATAGATCACACACAATAAACATCTTGAGCTCCAAACAACATATCAGGTTGCCATAAAAGTGAATCCTCAATATGAGTGAAATTCTAACATGCTCATAAAAACTGAGAAAGTATGACAGCATGCTGACAACCTGATGCAATGTGCCGTATTTGAAAATAGGAAGACACGTTATTTGTCCATTTGTCAGCCGGTCAGTCATATCTGCCTGCACAACAAAAATAAAAGCGTATAATTCATTTCATATCAAAATGAACTGCTTTTAGGGATTTTGTCTTGCACACGTTATGCAAATTATGTTCACATTTTGTGCAATTTACGACAGAGGTATTTTAATTCACAGTGTAATTTTAATTAGAATGTTCAAACAAGAGAAACATCTGACGTCTTGACTGCTTTGAAGACATACAAAATGAAAAAAAGAGCCTTTTATGAGACACTCCTGTGCTAATATAGTTTTGATGCTGCTGCACACGATGAGGTGTTTGTACTGTTAAACCAGATGGTGGTGCCAAAGCCATAAAAACACCCCCAAGTACATATTTTCTGTTGGTTTACTCTGTATAAATCATCATCAACCCAGGGGACCGTGCTTCATTAAACATTCAAGAACTTAAATGGCCCCATTCGTATCACTGTCAATCAAAGACAGGACTGTTTGTTTAACACTTTAATGGTGTCATATAAATGATATGATCATTTCAAGAGTGGAAGCATAGAAACTGACCTGAAAAAAGTATAGAAACACTTGGCGTTAGAATCACTAACTATGTTCTTGTTCTAAGACAAGTGAACCAATCTTACAAACCCCTGATACCTTTGTTTAAAGACTTCCAGTTGGCAACCAGTGCGTGAATGAATCAATTGCATAATCCAAAGAAGTAATGGCATAATATTGATCTTTGCAGAGGTGAAATCCAGTTCATAAAAGTTGCACCCTGACCGTGCTTCAGGACAGCAGGGTTACTTCTAGCTGTTTGCTCCTAACTCAGCATGAAAAGTATTTGCATAATATTCATGGAAACTGTGAAGACTGTGAGCTTGTGTTTGTAGTTTACAGATGGTGTGTTTTTGTATATTTATTCTTTGTAGGGGGAAAAAGGCAGACAACTGAGTACATAGCAAGCAGTGTGTACCCTCTCTCTCTCTCTCTCTGTCTCTCTCTTTCTCCTCCTGGTTTTACTCAAATATGTTGGCGAACCTCTAATAGGAAGATTTTGTTGATATTCCAGTTTGGAACATTATCAGATCAGCACAGTTAAGAGTCTCCACAAAAAATTCTCTGCTTTGGTCTGCCTGCATGTAATTCTATCTTCAATAAATGGTCAATGAAAGAACACGCTGTCATATGAGTGGGCCACTTGATACTACCAAGTAACACTCTCCTCTTTTTATCTATGTATCTATTTTCACTTCCCTATTTCTACTTCTTTATTGATTTTTTTAACAACATCATTCCTTAATCTTCCTTCTTGCTTCTGTATTTTTCTCTCTCTTTTTGCTGTTGACAAAAATTCAGATAGTAGTTTTTGCCATATTCTCTAACTGCATGTTTGTACCTTTGTTTTGTGTTTATGCACACTTCGATAAAATAAATACATTTGAAAAAGGACATTTAGTTTGAAGTATTCAGGCTGGTAAATGAAGTACACACAAGTTTAAATAAAATCATGGCATCTCCCAGATGATAGTCATGGGAGATGGATAAACATGGCTTACAGTAGAAAAGAAAGAAATAGTAAGGAGATACCTTCACACTGCATTGATACTGCCTCAGTGGTGCAATGAGCTGAATTGCTCTTCTTGTGTTTCATTGTTTCACCTTTGTATTTTGCCTCATTGCCTCTAACACAAGTCTTCAGTCACTGGAACTTTGTCACACAGCAACTACAGCTTAAATGTGGAGAACGTTTATATTGATAAATCTTTCAAACATTCAGCAGATCTTTGTTAAACTACAAGACACAAACTTAAGGTTTAAGGTTAAACTGTTCTGCACCTTCACATGTCTCTGTAAGGTGAGATGTTTCGCTGTAACCACGTGGTGGTGCCAAAGTCACATGGATTCCAAAATATCCGGTCTTGTCCACAGCAGAAAATGGTATGGCCTTTGTGCAGTCATCAGCACAAAGTTTGACCTTTTGCTGTGTGGTCAGGGCTGCTGCTTCAGCCAGCTCTCAAAGATCACTCACCAATGTGTTCTTTTTACTGACATGATTCAAACATTGATTCAACAGATTGTGTTTGCAAGTTGGGTGTCATTACTGTGTAAATTACAACAATAATACAAGTGTCAGGAGTTGTGTATGCATTCTACTGCCCTTCAAGAAAATCTCACAAGCTGCAGAGCAGCCATGTGATATGCCAGATTATCCTATCATCAGTAATAAAACAGTGAAAACTACCAGTTCTATGAGTGAGTTTACACATTTAAAGGGTTAAAAATGTGGACGTGTTGCTGAACAAAACCTGAACAGTGGCATCAAGCCTCTTACTTGTCTCCTAGACGGAGAGAGTAAGACTTCAAAGGTAGATCTTAGTCTGACTCTCTGCGCGGATGCGCACCGACCTTGGAGTCTCCAGACGCGCAGCGGAGGATTTTGCGCACTGAAGTCAAGCAGAGCTGAAGAGAGCGCACAGCGAACGGACTGCTGTCTGACTGACTGCAGTCCTGTCACTGGGATACGGGCTCACTTGGCTATACTTTACCGCGTGCATCATTGCCTTATTGATACCATTGTTTTGGATTAATTAGCGACAAGATAGCCTACAGTTTGTTTCGGTTTGGCTTGATTCGCAACTTAGATGAGTGTTGTTTCAACAGAGCCACTGAATGTAGCCGTTCCACCTTGTTTGTAGAGAAATCCAAGTGTCCCAACTGCCCTGGGAAAAACTCAACATCCTGAGAGACGGAGACGTTTGAGAGGATTTTAGGACTCTTTCCCGAAAGTGGATTGAACAAGGATGATTTGAACCGCCTTACCAAATTAAGTGAGGTATAACATTTGAAACACGGTAAGGAAAAGTTTGTATTTTCCTCCAAAGATATAATTCAAATGTACTGTATTTGTGGTCCTGTAACATTTAATAAAGGCGTTTTAAGCGATTTAACATCGTATGTATTTCCACTTTTCTCGCAGGTGATCACAGCAATGCTTCAAAGGCATGTGCGTCTGTCCCTCTCCAAATCTTCCAGAGAGGATTTAAGCGCCGCTCATTTTGAATAAGTCAAGAAGTCACCAAAGATGAGAGCTCTGCAAGCATTCCTGTTTCTTTTCCTCCTGCACCAGGTGAGGTGTGAGCTGGTTGAATTAAAATTAACACAATGTGTAGAAATATGTATGTGGCCAAGAAGCCTTTAAAGAGAAAGTTAGAGACACTAATGTGATTCCTGTTTTTTTGTAATCTTGCTGGTTCCTTATGAGACAATCGTTTGTCTTGTTTATATATTTGTATTATATATGTTGGTTTCATTTATATTTTGTTGTAATTTAGTTTATTGTAGATGTGCTCATGCAATGTCAAATTTATCAGCCACCACATAATGCCAAATGGCAATTCAATAAATTCCTGGCATGACATTTTAGTTGACAAGGTCATCAGCAGCCAATTTATTGGTCGACAAGAACTCCTCATTAAGTCTTACAGTGGGATTAGCTTGTTTTGTGTTATTTACAACTTGTGGGCCAATAATAAAATACAAAAAGTCCTACCATATGAACATGATTTTTTAAACATGATTTATTAAAATAAAGGGCACCTCAACACCTCTATATGATGATTTGTTTAATTTCTGCAGCCCATATAAACCATATTTTAGAAAGTTTAATAGCCAAGTTGATTGGATTTAATTTTACAGAATAGACTGTGGCTTTGTCAATAGCCATAATGTACAGTACCAAATGCAGCTAATATCCCTCCATAATAGCATCTGAATTAACTTATTGTTCCTATTTGGGGCTTTTCTTAGTAAACATTTAGATATAGAATATATTTTTGCCATGTTTATGCAACAATAATACAGACAGTTTACATTACAAGTTAATGTGAACATTATGCTCATTACATTATAATGAACAATTCAACAGTATTCTTAATTGAGAAGTTGAGCTAGTGTAGTTTTAAAAATCTTTTTACTATTCACTGAATATAAACTTGTATTTACTGATGTGCCTGCCTTAGCAGAGTTTTTAGTTTTAAGATAAGTGACCTTTAATATATTAAAAGCAACAATCAAATCTGCCTCTTCATTTATTCAACTATACCACATGGATATACGTGGTTAGCAATCATTTTATTTTATTTGGTTTGACCTTTCTGTTGAACCCCTTGACACTCCTGTAGTGTCTTTGACGTATTAAAATGGAGGCCAGCAAAAAACAAAAGGAAGTGAGAACAATAAGTGAAAATTGCAGAAACCACAGTTTTTCAAAGCCTGCGCTCTTTCCTCCTTTACAATTTACACAACATGATGAAATCACAAGTACCTGTGAATACACAGGAAATGATGTAGTATTTGCCAGAGACTGATTGTTTTAACCTTCTGGATATAATCTTCTTGTAGTCTAATTCTGTTTTTATTGCATGAATAAGCCCCCTAAAGAAAGATTGTGAGCTTTAGGGAAATTTAAAGGTCTTTTCCTGCTCTTTTTTTTCAACAGCTGTTGATGTCCTCTATAGGCAGTTGAATAAAGTGCGCGTTTTATCGTGATCATCCTCGCTTTACGGACTCTTGCCGTGTTCAGACCTGAACAGAAAATGCCATGTGATTGAAGAAGTTCTTCACATCTGTGTTATCCTCAAAGAGGGCTTCTCTAAAAGATAGCCTTGAACTGTACAGATGCAGCGGCAAAGTGCTGTCTGCTCTGGCTGCTGTTGTAATCAGCCTTGTGCCTATTGGGAGCTCTGCCTCCAGAGAGAGAGACAGGCTGCCTCCCTGAAGAGGCTCTTTTTATATGCCTCAGTGGCTTCCCTCCCAGCAGACCCACCACTGTCTGATGGGGGACATATCAGCCCACATCCATATTCCCCCACCTTCCGAAGGGTAAAAAATACTTAAATATCAGGCTGAATGAAAGCGTGAAATATGCACCAAAACGTCTTGAGACAATCTTCCTTTTTCTGCTTCATAGTTTACTATGATAAGGCACTGTAAGGATGTGATTGGGGTGACATGTGACAAAGTTGCAATGCTGGATTTCTACCCATGGTGTCACAGGATGCACCTCAGACAAGTGAGGCGCCAGGATGCCCTGTTAAACTGAAGAATACATTTTTATTACTTGAAGTAGAGGATCTGTAGTGATTCTTTAGTCTCACAGACATGCCATATCATCCAAAAAAAGAAAAGAGAACACAAACACTTTTCTTCCTCTTGCATCTTCATACACGCTCATAGCGAAAACACCCAGAACATGAATCAAATGGTGAAAATGTAACCCTGGCCCTAGCATCTGTGCCATACCCCAGGGACAAATAAGAGGGTCAAAGCCATCCTGGGAGAATCCATTCTTCCCCATGACATCTGCTGCCGTTATCCTCTGTGCAGCGACAGCAGAACAATGTAGATGAAGATAAAACATACTTGAGAGCCGTGCTCTCTGCTGTCGCCGTCTGCCCGTCCTGCCCTTCCTGCCCTGCCTCTATTCCACAGCTTTCATGCAGGGAAAGTGGACTGTTCAACGCCGCACGGAATTAAGTGTGTGAAGATATAGACAAAGTCCATTGCGCCTTTGTATCTTATTGCCGGGATAACAGCTCTTTGGTAATAATGTGTCATGACAAAGCATCTCTGTGGTCCATGCCAAGAGGATCAGCAGCGGTGGTGTTGAATGTATGGCTCCCTCCTGTGTTGCTGTAAATGTCGCCCAGGGTCGGACTGAGCGAGCATCTTGATAGAAGGGTGTGACGCACTTAAGAGACAAAGCGTGGCTGGTTACTAGTAAGCTGAACATGCCTTGTCCCTTGGATCTGCTACATGCTTGGAGTTCATCCCTGCAACTTTGATGTGAACTGATTTAAGGGATTACAAGTCATTCCTCAAGGGATTTAGCATTAGTCTCAACAGTTATATATTAATTTATTTACATCTAGCTCACTGGATTATTTTCTGTTCATCCATCAATGAAAGTGGAAGATCATCAGAACAAAAAAAAATCTGAATATGAAGTCGACTTGGTTCAGTTTTAGCTGCTAATATTATTGTAGAAAACTGCCAGAAGATTTTTTTTTCCCACTCGCAGTTTTTCTCTGCAGTGCTGGAGAGAGACAGTGAGGCTCCATTCAAAGTCAAAACGGGCTCTGGCAAGGACAACAGTTTTATCCCTGTCTTCATAACAAAACATAAATTCTACATAAATTCCCTCTCTAAGGGCTCTTTAACCCTTTTCCCCTTCCCCATGCTCAATTAGGTTTGGTTTTATTATTTATTTATTGTATATTTAAAGGCAACTAACACTGGGAAGTGTAATAAAATGTACAGTGGGGGGATTAGGAGCAGCTCTTTAATCTCACGCTTCTGATAATACTGCATGGGCTGATTGATTAGTTTTTCAGGAAGCTTATGTCAGAAAAACCTAATCCGTCTTTGGATTGTGCCAGCCTTGTAAGGTTCTCCGCGCTGCCACTTTATCATGGCGGCGAATTACAGAGCTGCTGGGCTGTGATAAGGTCCTCGTCTCTTTTACAGACCCCACCGCCCAACCCCCGGCACCCCCACCCCCATCCCCTCCCCGCCTTTCCCTCTGGACAATAAAAAAAATTGTGTTTATATTCTTCACATCCCTGCTCTGCCTGGTCTTCACATCAACCTCTTCCAGGATTTTGCCTTGTAAGAAAGAGAGAGAGAGAGAGAGAGAGAGAGAGAGAGAGAGAGAGAGTGGAACTTAAGTCTTCAAAACCCCACCAGAGAAATTGGGTGGGGAGAGAGAAAAATATGAGAGAAAACGGCAGACAGGCCAGTAGAAATTTCTGTGGAAGTCATTAAACATGGATTGGCAGAGTGAAGGGGCCTTGTATGCATGTGCTGCCTTTCCAGGAATCATTTTGGGGCTTACATGGTTCTGATGTGTATCTGTGCTCATATTGGGGTCACAATCTTTCTAGCCAGAAGGCTTGACTAGATAATCCCTCATAAACAATACTGTCTGTGGCATTTGCAGTCCTCAGACTGCATGTTGTCTCAGACCTCTGAAGGAAAGGTTGTCATTTCTGCGGGTTAGATACCTCAAAGGTAGCTTGCACACACTACAGGTTGTATTGACTGTATTGAGCCCTGCAACCTATTCCTTTTCCAATCATCAGTCATAACTGTGTGTGTGCTGCCAATAAATCCACGATAAAGGTCCTGAAATGAAGTTCCAAATGATTCATAGGTGTGACACAATTGCCCTTTGCATTGACAGTAACCATAATCTGGCTGCTGAGAGGACCATTAAAAACTTAAGTCAAACAATTACAAGCTGCACAATTACTTCCCCCCTAGCCTCTGTCATGATGTTAGGAGGAAGTGAAGTTCTGAACAGCTCTCTCAGAGCAAGTCACACCCACTCTCTGGTGCAGGAAACATTATGTTTAATATGATGTTGAGTTTCCCCGATCTTGGTCCACAGCTATGAATTTTTATGGGCGATGTGCAGCCCGAGGCAGTGTTAGATCTGGAGGCTCCGCTACCTTATAGCATTGTCATTACCGCTCTGCAGGGTTAGACATCCAGCACTCTCTGAAGCACAACCTCGCTGTTTAGCAGCTCTTTTTTTTACTGTCTGCTTCGCTTTTCACTGCTGTGCTGCAACAAAACAAAAGCTGGGAATCAGTTCATGTGCAGCAGGTATTTTGTCTAAATCTTATGTGGATGATAGAAAATCTTCTGAGGCATTGAGGTGTCACTTTCTCTTCTAGAAAATCAAATATTGCAATAGTTGTCTTGTTGCTGTGCGAGTTCTCCACTTATGTCTGAATTCAATCAAACTCGTGATGAGCTGTGCCATCACATAAAACTACGACTCTGGTAGGAACAGTAGCAAAATGTCTGCCTTTCAACATTTTCATATTTTCCAAACATATTCAAGTTCTTAATTACCACCTGGTTTGGTACTTTGAAGGAGGCAATCACATTACATGTCAGAGCTCAGGAAAATGATTGACCTCTTTAATTAAAACTGCGCTGCTTTCCTGTAAAAGGCAAGGTGTGACAGCTTAAGAATAAGTACAATAAATCTCCTTTCTGATTATTCTCAGTTTTGCATTTCCTTCTCTGCCTCCGGGCTTTGAGGCCTTTCTTTTCAGCTTG